TAGGATTCAAACTGTAGGAGGAGTTATGCGGACTATATACCCATAATAGGACGGACAGACGGACGGACGGACAGGGGTAAAACAATATGCCTCCCAACTTTCAGTCGCGGTGGCATACGAAACAGTTTCATTTGGCTGATTCAATAGATCGGTAAGACTGGGTAATATAAATCCATCGGGGTGATCTCGGATGCTCCAGAAAGGCACCCGTCGTGTTATTCGAGAAAGTACAAACCCAGTGATTTGGTTTTATTTGGTAGTTTACATTCAAGGAAAAGATGACAGTATTATGGTTACGACTACTGGAACATGTCCGTCGTCACATGTGAAACAGATATTCCAAAAAGTTTATTTTTCAATTAGTGCGAGGTAGATCAGGGAATTCAATTGATTACAAATAAAAGATTGATATTCGTATAAGTTCAAATGATCATTTACGCTAAAAAAAAATCTGAGAATTCTTATTTTATAGTATTGATGCTTTGTCGCTTAGTCCGAGCCCCCCTCCCCCGTTTACCTGTAACTTTAGTGTGAGTTGATTTGAAGTGTTTCATTTGTTAACAATAAAGTTCAAGTCTTTTGATTTGTGTCGAGCCTGCGACATCAATGTAGCGGCAGTGAGACACAACAAACCTATATTTCGTCGTCGATAGTGGCGTCGGCGTCTCCATCTCCATTTTTTTTTTATTTCTATTGAGTTTAACCTTTCATTATACATGTTACTAAACATGTATGCCATCATAATTTTGTACTTTTAGAATATCATACTGTATTTGTTTACCTCGACTATTGTATCTGTATTTATATTGTATGTTTCTCTGTAAACTTGTATTTAGTTTTTAGAGAATAAAGTATCTATGTATCTATCTATAGATCGTTAGGTTTCTAGTTTTTTACATTTTTCATTTCGGGACCTTTTATAGCTTACTATAGAGTATGGGTTTTGCTCATTGTTGAAAACCATACAGTTTTGTTTTAGTTAAATAAAACCGAATTAAACTGTTTTGATATGATAAATTTGTAAACCTCCATGAAGTGTTTTCAAACTTGTATAGGGGTTATTCCTCAATTTCATGAAAAAGCATCTACAGAAAAACATTTTTTTTTTAATTTTTTTTTTACCGATAAATGTATAGATAAATGTACAGCCGATCAACATGACGCTTTTACACTTACATCAGCAATATCAGGCGAGACACATGGTTCCGTGGAATATTTTACAAATTTATTACAAAAATACTGCTTCCGTTTGAGAAATTAGAATAAAAACAACAGGACCAAGTGGTTTGGGGATATCCTAATTATGTCCGAAATACTGTAAACTTTTTAATACTTTTTTTCTTATTATTTTCTGCCGTTCCCCCTTTTTCATACCAAATAACTCTGAACAACCACTCGAACTTTAATTTGAACTTTAACTCAATGGATAGCGATACCCATCCAAAGCACATTAAACAAACGATATATTGAAATCTGTTTAAAAAAAGAACATATTTTTTTACAAATTGGTCACGTGGTTTTACCTCATCAAGTAATGGGATAACCACATCAAAGAATGACAGGACCACATCAAATAATGAAACAAACACATCATGTAGTGTAAAATCGTCAAATTTTGAAACATCTTTGCGTAATGTTAAAACCATATAAAGAATAGGGTAAGGCAAATCATCATTACGAAATAACAAAACCACATCATGTAATGAAACAACTACATAACGTTAAGTCACATTCACATCAAGTAATGTTAAAACCACATTGACTAATGACACAACCACATTAAATAATGGTGAAACCACATCGAGTAATGACAAAACCATATTGAGTAATGGCAAAACTATATCAAGTCAATACGAAACCATATCGTGTAATATCGAAATATCATTAAGTAATGACTATTCCATATTGAGTTATATCAAAACATCATTACGTAATGTCAAAACCATATTAAGTAAAGACAAAATATCATCAAGTAATAATAAAACAACATAAAGTAATATCAGAGTTCCACATAAGACAGCTGTGGCGTTCCATATATATGCCCAGAAATAACGTGGATAACATTGCAGCTCATAACATTCGAATGTAGGTTTCGTAAAATTTGTATTGCAAACATACCCAGGGTGCAATGAGATGGTAGAGCAAGAGAGAAGAAGGAGAAGATCAACATGAGTACAATGAGATAATAGAGCACGAGAGAAGAAGGAGAAGATCAACATGAGTACAATGAGATGGTAGGGCAAGAGAGAAGAAGGAGAAGATCAACATGAGTACAATGAGATGGTAGAGCAAGAGAGAAGAAGAAGAAAATCAACATGAGTACAATGAGATGGTAGAGCAAGAGAGAAGAAGGAGAAGATCAACATGAGTACAATGAGATGGTAGAGCAAGAGAGAAGAAGAAGAAAATCAACATGAGTACAATGAGATAATAGAGCACGAGAGAAGAAGGAGAAGATCAAGAACATGTTGGGTAAGGAATTTGTAGCAAATATAGAGTTATATCAAAACATCATTACGTAATGTCAAAACCATATTAAGTAAAGACAAAATATCATCAAGTAATAATAAAACAACATAAAGTAATATCAGAGTTCCACATAAGACAGCTGTGGCGTTCCATATATATGCCCAGAAATAACGTGGATAACATTGCAGCTCATAACATTCGAATGTAGGTTTCGTAAAATTTGTATTGCAAACATACCCAGGGTGCAATGAGATGGTAGAGCAAGAGAGAAGAAGGAGAAGATCAACATGAGTACAATGAGATAATAGAGCACGAGAGAAGAAGGAGAAGATCAACATGAGTACAATGAGATAATAGAGCACGAGAGAAGAAGGAGAAGATCAACATGAGTACAATGAGATGTTAGAGCAAGAGAGAAGAAGAAGAAAATCAACATGAGTACAATGAGATGGTAGAGCAAGAGAGAAGAAGGAGAAGATCAACATGAGTACAATGAGATGGTAGAGCAAGAGAGAAGAAGAAGAAAATCAACATGAGTACAATGAGATAATAGAGCACGAGAGAAGAAGAAGAAAATCAACATGAGTACAATGAGATGGTAGAGCAAGAGAGAAGAAGGAGAAGATCAACATGAGTACAATGAGATGGTAGAGCAAGAGAGAAGAAGAAGAAAATCAACATGAGTACAATGAGATAATAGAGCACGAGAGAAGAAGGAGAAGATCAAGAACATGTTGGGTAAGGAATTTGTAAAAACCGGAGAGAAGATTAGCAATATGACATTTTCATCAGATAATGAATGAGAAGCTCCGCTTGGATGGTCAGGAGTCATTGAGAATAAGGACTGACAGAAACGAGGCTTTTTATAACCGTCAATCCATAACGTGATAATAATTATGTTCTAAAGTTAAACTGTCTGTGACCGAGTTGAAAAAAAATTAAGTTTTAAGAATAGGGAGATGTTGTATGATTGCCAATGAGACAACTATCCTCAAGAGTTCAAATGAAGTGGATGTAAACAATTATAGACAACCGTACGGCCTTCAACGATAAGAAAAACCAATACCGTATAGTCGACTCCAATAGGCCCGACATGAAAAATGTGAAACAATATAAACGAGAAAACCAACGGACTAATTTATAACAAAATTGATTTTGTTAGAACGGATTTCGAATTATAAGGAACGAAGTAGAACTAGTTACTAACCGGTTTAAATGGGCTACAGCTAGACAAGCTTGCACTACTTGGAAACGCTGTCTCCATGAGGTAAACGGGCAATTTTACCCGATCTGAATGGGATATAAACGGACTGCAGACGTGATCAAGACGAGATGGACGCATCAAAACCTGTTTAGGAACCAACTAGGGTCGCATTATACTGAGCCAGTGTCCGGTCAAAGCTATATGCTTATTAGTCAGACCTAAACCCGTTTTACGTTTTATTATGGATCGGACGTGTTAAGATCTAGTTTGGTGTGACTGAAGCTTAACGCTAGCAAAAATTCATTTATACTTTTTGACTGGAAGCCATACATCACACTTATAAACAAATCAAACTTTCCATTTTCTGCATTGTGAAGATTTTTGTCTCATAGTTGAATAAATAAGAACTATTACATTGTTTTAAGTTTTCAAATATCACTTTTGTTACCTTTTTCCCTTGTTATGACAACATTTATTTTGGGGACTGTTGTTTTAATCCAATTTTGACGCCTAACATATTTGACCAGGTGAAAGTAATAAGACACCTGTAGTGTAATGTAGTCACCTGCAATTTTATTGTCATCACTTGATATGTGCGAATGTATTGATTTCCCATAGTGTCCATAATTTGAATATATAATGAAATGCGGCCGTCTTGGAAATTAGATCAGCGTCATATTAAAATATATTTTGTTAGGACCTTCATATCATCATGCATGTGCAATGTCTTTTTGAATGCATATAGTTTATTAAGTATAGAATTTGCAGTCAAACAATCTTTCCCTAAACCATCAATGATTTATATAACTTAATTGTTCAGTCACCGAGTTTCGTACTTATGGGATACATATCATTTACCTATTATGGTTATATAGGCAACACAAAATGTTTCTATTGTTTTTCTGAATAGTTTGGTGTTTTTTTGTTTTACATTGCTCAAGATCATATCCTTTGTCCAGTTTATCATTTTCCTGTATGAAATCATCTATAAGATATACAATTCAACAGCCGATGTGAAGAGAATATATGAAATATATTGGAGGGTCTGGATGGGGTTAATATATTAATTATAGAATAACAGAATTAAAACACAATGATGATATAATTTACCCCCCCCCCCCCCTTTTTTTGTTTCTCAATTTAATATATAAATTATAAAAAATACATCAGGATTGGGATAAACAAATATCCATTTCCTTGGACATATTCATTAATTTTAAAATTTCAGGGTTGGAATACATAAATATTTTACTCTCCTAAATCTATTAATTAATGGGTAAACTTGCGATTGTTTTGCAATCTCAAGACATCAGAAGGAAGTGACGTCACAAGCACTTGTCGACTTCCTTTTTAGGAAAACAACAGGATTTGAAGTGATTCACTCCTTAAAGCGAATTTCTGAGATTGGTGACGTTTTGACCAGAAGGAAACCGATAGATATATAATTTACCACTAAATTATTTCAGCAGTTAGTAAGTTTTTAGGATGAAACTGATTAAGTTTTGTTGAGGGTAAAAAGGGGGAGGTTGTGTTTACCTGTCAGTGTCAAGCTAACTAAAAAGTATATTTTATACCGGTAAAGTTTTATATTGGCAGATTTCGGAGATAACAATATTCACAGGTAGGGGTGGCTGTTATTTTTGGAATGATTCCAGCATGGAACGAAGTTTGTACGAATTTTGAAATTATATGATAGACAGAGAGGTTTACAGCCATACTGGCATACAGGGTACATGTACCAATATTCAGTGAATGATTTGGACACAAATAGATCATTTATGAATATAGTTTTGAATATTGTGCCAAGCCATGCAAATTTTAAAGTTTAATAAAATATGGATATAGTCTGTCCGAATCCATGACAATTCGCCCCACTTTTTCACCAACTCACCCCACTTCCTAAAAAATCGCCCCACTGGTGTTTACCAACTCGCCCCACTTATGAAAAATGGTAAAATCCCGTTGATTATAGTCTGCCAACTCACCCCACTTATGAAAAATAGTAAAATCCCGATGAATTTAGTCCTGCTAACTCGCCCCACTTATGAAAAAGGGTAAAATTGCGTTGAATATAGGTCTGCCAACTCGCCCCATTTATGAAAAAGGGTAAAATCGCGTTGAATATATAGGTCTGCCAACTCACCCCACTTATGAAAAGGAGTTTAATTCCATTGCATAAAAGTCTGCCAACTTGCCCCACTAATGAATAAAAGAATTAAACTGTACTGAATTAAGGCCTACCAATTCGCCCCACTTATGAATTAAATGAATACTGACAAAAACCTTAAAATGCATTTTGTTTTTTATTTAACTCTTTTCTTTTGGTTGCAATAAAGCAGAAAGAAGTAAGTACGATGTTATTGACTATTGTAACTGTTTATGATGTTTGTTTTCTGGTAAATATTATCACTGTTTTACTAGATAAGTCAAGGATCATGGGTGTTTATAATAATAATAAAGCTAGTTTCCAATAAATACTAAAATTGTATATAATAAATAATGTATCTACAATTTCATTTTAAGAAATGAAGCATAATTTAATTTTGATCATAATCATACATGTATATTAAATTTTGGATTTTTATTAGTATCACAAGTGATTTTTTTTAATTCTGTGTACATTTTGTAGATAAGTTTTCATAAGTGTGGTGCGTTGGCAGACCTATATTATATTTTATTGAGATTTTAACCGTTTTCATAAGTGAGGCGAGTTGGTTAACCAGAGTGGAGCGATTTTTTAGAAAGTTGGGCGAGTTGGTAAACAAGAGTGGGGCGATTTGGCAATGGGGCATGTTGTCTTGCTTTCGTCTGTCCTTAAGAAGCCCCTCATTGATCCTTCATCATCCTATGTCTTTACTTTCTGCTTTCCAATCCAAAATAAGGTAGCATATCTCTGTGACCACTTCTCTCTCATCAGGGTTTCAATTAATAACACAATTCCGTCCCATTCACTTGCAACAGAATAAAAGTGAACAGTCTGTATATACCCTGCCGACAAATTGAACGATTGTAGAGGGGCAGTAAAGACAACTCGCGATCGGACCACTTACAGAAAAGTAAGTATAAAGAAAACACAAAGATGAAAGACAATCTGGTCAACTTACTTTTCTGCTTAATATTACATGTACAACTTGAAAATGAAAGCAATGCATGCAATACACAAATGATAGACTGACATATATATATACATGTATATATATCTGTTTTAATGCCCCCGCAGATGTAGGCAACAGGGGCATCAAGTGTTACCCTTGACCATCTGTCCGTCCCTTTTTTGTTTGCACTCTTAACTAAAGTGCCTCATGCAAATTTTTTTAAACTCATACACAATGCTACATGTATGAAACAAAGCTTGCAGACAGAGTTTGATTTTTAGAACACTTACCTTCTGGAATTATCATGATTATGCCCCTTTATAATTTGGAAAATTGCTAATTTTTTCCGTTTCTGCACAGCTTGAGCGGGGGCATTCATGTCCTCAGACATATTCTTCTTTTATTTTCTTTATATGTGCCAATGGAACTATTTGGTTGTTTTTTGTATTTTTATAGATGTCTGTGTTCATGTGACTGTGCATTTTAATAAATATAAAAATGTAAATAACAATGAAGTAATTGACATTAACCTGTAACACTTTCTTAAAAGTCATCATAAAGAATATTTTTATCACACACAACTTTCAGTGTTCTCCCTTGGGCCATTTAGCATCATGGTAATGTGATGTTATATTGCTAGAATATGACGCTATCTGTAATGAGTTATTTATAGACTATAGTGTTATGGATGTGATGCTATAGTTTCTAGAAACAATCTTGATGGTATTTCATAATTCCCTGTTTGCCAGGATGATATATTAAATTTCTGAGTAGAACGCTGACTTTTAGTCACTGATCTTACTTTGAATACATTAAAAACCATCACGCATTACTCTGCAACCAATCTGATTTCAATTAACTTAATAATTTTAATGCATTCTGACTACAGGCCAAAATAAAAATGTGTGTTTCTTGTTACATCAGTTTTCAAAGTAGGTTAGGTACAAAATGTACAATTGTAGGTGGGCTTTTTTTGACGGGGAAGTTAGTAGACAGAAACATGGACCCCATAAAAAAGGGGGCTACTTTTAGCCATTCATGTGTTGGCATTGGCCATAGTGACATGCCAGTAAAGTGTCAGCTACTAGCAAATGGTCCCCATGATTGTTTTGATAGATATAGATAATAGAGCCCCAATCATTGGCATAACAGACTGGATTTCTTTTTTTAAATTGAAAATTTTCGAAATCACGAAAAAAATAAGGGTTGAGGAAACACAAATATGGTCTGTTTTCTGTTGAGTAACCCCATATATATTTTTACTTGGCCTAAATTTATAATGAGTTTTAACTGAAAAATGGAAGAAATAAACAAGCTTATTAAACGGCATGAAAGGAACTCAAGTTAATTGAGGTGTCATAAAATTTTATGTCTTATTACATGTATTAGTTAAATTTTCAAGTTGGTCCGAGTTTTCTTTTAATTGGTCAGAGGTGTCGTAGGTTGGACTAGTCCTCATTCCTATGCAATATTTTCGTGGTCTGTTTACATTGTAGTTGCGCAACACACTACTTATGAGTATTCACATCACACTTAAAATCCACCAATGAATTAATAAATTTCAAGGGAAAACACAGTATACAGACAGTATCCCCGGTTTCTGTCATAAAACTGATAAGAAAGCAAAATTCAGCATCAATCAGACTACATGTTATAAATGCACATTTAACGACACATGAGAACGAACAACATGAGAACATGTAAAAATGTTAATTTTAATACAAATTAAGAACATAAACTTTTAAAGTTTTCATTTTCAAATTTTGTCATGCATGCTAAAGAGTCGTTTTCCATGTTAAGTTTAACACACTATTGTGTCCCTTTTACACTTCAGTCTACACATTTGGCTGGAATGCTGTAAAATATCATTTTTGAAATGAGAATGTGATCATACATGTATGTAGATTATAGTACTGAAACAAACTATAAAATGATAACTTTAGAATATATACAAATGTACATGAAAATATTCTTGAGTACATACCCACCAATTAACCATCTTTTCTGTGAATGCTTTAATATACCTTATTTTTGTGCATAATTTATTTTGCATAAAGTTCTTCCTAGACAATTTGCAGCAATTTATTTGCGCAAATTCACATTTTCTTAATACATGTTATATGTTTCTATAAGGTAAGGTCAAAGTTTCACATATTTGGGATGATTTAAATTCTGGTTATTCTTTCTATTTGCTAAAGTCAAGAAAATAAATCGCTGGAAAAAAAATAGTTGGTTTACAGTAATCACCTCCATCTTACTTTTAGCAAAAAAATACACAGGATTTGTCGAAGGCTAATGGAACAGTATAACTGTTGCAGCAGAGTTTTTGATATCTTTGAAGAAAATCTGCAGGTTCTCGCTATACTTCTATTGCAAAATACCAAAATTGTGTCAATCCTTGACAAAATTTTGTAGGTTAAAACCTTTGGACGACAACTTTTCTAGGACTGAATGTTTGCTAGATATTGTAAAAGAAACTCAATTTTTAATGATCGTATCATACTATTCATATGACACCCGTGCCATGGAAAATCAACCAAAATTTATTTTAACTTTAAATTTTTTTTAGGTTGATACATCTTCACAGCCAGAATGTCTTTAGACGGACAATTCCGACAGCTGATCATATCAGACCCTCAAAAGAAGGCTCCACCAGCTGTGGCACCCAAACCAAAAGTACAAAACTCATCACCGAAGCCATTCAGACCAGGTAATATAAAGATAAGGATATATGGTATGATTGCAAATGAGATCCACAAGACAAAAGGATTGGTGTGTAAATAACTATAGATCATTGTAAAACCTTCAACAATGTGTAAAACCATGAATTTCACATTTTCTTAAGGCTTGTGTACAAATTTTGGCATAGTTAAACTGCTCAATCAAATATCCCTGAAATTTTTAATTTTTCTTCAATTCACGAATATTGGCACCCACAAGCATAATAGAATACAATGTCAGTTCTGTTCTTCAGTAACACCTTTATATAAGCATCTTTATTTGTCATTCTTAATCTGACATCATGAACTTGTTATTTTGTTATTCATACATTGAATACTCTAGTTATTGAGCTAAGATGAATAATTCATACTTTCTCATCCATCTATGGAAAAAATCGTGATTTAAGAAAATTGTTTTGAGCCCTTATATAAATGAAAAACCTTTTGACATTTTACAGGAGGCAGTACCTACAGACAGTTCCAGAGAACTGAAGATTTTCCACCTCCTCCACCTCAGACTGCATATGTAGAGGAACAAAACTTCCCACCCCCACCCCCTGACACAGGGAGGGGTTATGGTTACCAGGAAGTACATGATGAGTTCCCTCCCCCTCCTCAAGCATCCACAGGATATGAAGGAAGAGATGTCACGTCACCAATCCACATCGCAACAGACTACAATCAGCAGTCGACATACAACTCACAAAGTGGATCATATGGAGGGAACCAGTATTCTCCTTCGTCTGGAGGATACCAGTCTAAACCAAGAACAGAAGTTGTTTACAGGACGGAATCTCCTGTTAGCAGTCCTTACCAGGTGGACGAAAGGCAGAGAAACTATTCTGAAAATTCACCAACAGCCTTTCAACCGAAAAGCAACTACGCTAACATCGAATCGATTCAATCTGCTTATACCGATTCTTCTCCTGTCCCACAGGAACAACCAATTTACGCTAAACCAAATATACGAGGATCATCGTCAGATATGTACAATAGACCTTCCAGTAACTCTCCATCTTACATGACTGGTTCCCCAGATCAGTACCAGTACCAACGTCAGAACGAGCCTTCACCACCTGTACATGGAGGTTCTCCCAATCAGTTCTACAGCAGACAAAATAGTGGAGAAAGATCACCCATTATTTACAATCAGCAGAACAGTGGCGGGGAAAGAACACGTCACCTTAGTGGTGGATCAGGTGGATTTTCTCCAAGATTTGTAAGTACAAGCATGCTATAATTATGTATCACAAAGTGATTTTATTGAGCAAAAAAGTTATAACAAAAATCCAAGGTAAATTAAAAAGGGGAAGTCCTAAAAAATCCTGACTAAATCAAACGCTCGACTATATCATCGAACATAGAGAATGGAAAACATCTCAATCCTAAATCAAATCATTGACTTAATCAGCTGATATGATAATTTCATTAAAAACATACAAATGTGGATCAATAGGACTTATATATTAATGGGTGGATTTATCTTGCCACTACCAATTTGAGGATTTATTTACTTTTTTAAAGTTCCTGATTTACCCACCATTCTCCCATGTAGTTTGTGTTTTGCTCAAGCTCCAGTTTTTATAGGACCGCAAAAAAATTTTGCGGTCGTATATTGGTATGACGTTGACTAACTTTAGTTTAAGCAAATGGATCTCTATGAAATTTTACCATAAGGTTCGAATTCAATACCACAAAAGGAAGGTGGGGATTGATTTTGGGGGTTATGGTACCAACAGTGAAGGAATAAGGGGCCAAAAATAAGCATTTTTGTAACTTCCAGACATAACTTGTGTGTTAGTGTATGGATCTCTCTGACATTGTACCACAAGGTTCCATATCTCAAAGGTAATGCTGGGATTGATTTTGGGGGTAATTGCCTCCAAATTTTAGGAATTAGGGGCCAAAAAGGGGCAAAAAAACAAGCATTTTCCTAGTTTCATGACAATAACTTGTGTGTAAGTGTATGGATCTTTATGAAATTGTACTACAAGGTTCCATATCACAAAGGGAAAGCTGGAATTGAGTTTGGGGGTAATTGCCCAAAAAGTTTAGGAATAAGGGGCCAAAAAGGGGCCAAAAATAAGCATTTTTCTAGTTTCATGACAATAACTTGTGTGTAAGTCTATGGATCTCTCTGACATTGTATCACAAGGTTCCATATAACAAAGGGAATGCTGGGATTGATTTTGGGGGTAATTGGCTCGAAATTTTAGGAATTAGGGGCCAAAAAGGGGCAAAAAACAAGCATTTTCCTAGTTTCATGACAATAACTTGTGTGTAAGTGTATGGATCTTTATGAAATTGTACTACAAGGTTCCATATCACAAAGGGAAAGCTGGAATTGAGTTTGGGGGTAATTGCCCAAAAAGTTTAGGAATAAGGGGCCAAAAATAAGCATTTTTCTAGTTTCCAGACAATAACTTGTGTTCAAGTGTATGGATCTCTCTGAAATTGTACTGCAAGTTACCATACCACAAAGGGAAGGCTGGGATTGATTTTGGAGGTAATTCCCTCAAAAGTAATTAGGGGCCATAAAAGGGCAAAAAAAAAAACAAGCATTTTTCTAGTTTCAGGACAATAACTTGTGTGTAAGTGTATGGATCTTTATGAAATTGTACTGCAAGGTTCCATATCACAAAGGGAAAGCTGGGTTTGAGTTTGGGGGTAATTGCCCTAAACGTTTAGGAATTTGGGGCCAAAAAGGGGCCAAAAAACAAGCATTTTTCTAGTTTCCAGACAATAACTTGTGTTCAAGTGTATGGATCTCTCTGAAATTGTACTGCAAGGTACCATACCACAAAGGGAAGGCTGGGATTGAGTTTGGGGTGATGAATCATAAGGGGGTTCAAAAAATTTGGGGGGGGGGGGTTTTTTCCTTTTTTTTCTTTAAAATTTTCCGTTTTAAATTGGTTATTTCTGATTTATATATAAAAATAAATAATAATGATATGGTTTGAATAGGTAAATTAACATTTTTTTAAGTTCTTAGACCACATTCATTCTGTGTCAGAAACCTATACTGTGTCAAATATTTAATTACAATCCAAATTCAGTGCTGTATCAAGCTTGAATGTTGTGTCCATACTTGCCCCAACTGTTCAGGGTTCGACCTCTGCGGTCGTATCAAGCTGCACCCCAGCAGAGCATTTTATCTTTATTTTGTCATGTGGATCATTGTTTTGTTTTTATCTTCTTGACCATGGTGTCTATCTTATGTTTTTAATTTATAACTTTGCATGTGACCATGTGTAAAAAATGGTATAAATTGTTGCACCGTATCCATCAAATATTTGTTACTATTTTACACATAATTATTATTTTTTCAGGATGAAGGGACCAGACCTGTTCCCGGGCCACAGGTACCAGCTGCAGCTGTCAGTATGCAGGGAACCAGTAAGAACAAAGAAGCAGAGGTTGATGCCCTGACAAGCCTCTTAATGGAAAATATGTCATCATCAGCAGATCCAGAATTTATGGGTTTGTACAACAGAAAACTCTTAGTTGTCCAAATCATATTGTTTGTTATGGGCATACAGATTTTTAAGAAGCAACCTTTTCTCAACAATACTTGCAATAATGTTTGCTTTGCTAATCCCCCCGAAAAACATGAAAAACACAATTGGAATGGAAAAGCGAATATGCATTATCTCCTCACTTGGCGTCCATCGTCACCGTCTGTTAACTTTTACAAAAATCTTCTCCTCTGAAACTACTGGGCCAAATTTAACCAAACTTGGCCACAGTCATCATTAAGGTATGTAGTTTAAAAAAATGTGTCCAATGATCCCGCCCACCAACCAAGATGGCAGACATGGCTAGATATAGAACATAGAGGGTAAAATGCAAGTTTTGTCTATTATTTTGAAAACTGTTATAAATAGACTAAATCTGACAGGGGCAGAAATGTTAAGAAAGTTGATCTCTACCTATTGTCCATTTACGTCAAAACTGTCAGACGATTTCTTATAGGAGTTATTGCCCTTGAATGACAAATTTTTACCTTTTCTTTTTCTTTTTGCCTTTTATCTTAAAAACTATAATAGATAGAGAGAAACTTTAAATGCAAAAATGATCACTTGACATGTTCTTCAAATGAGTCTAATGGTTGAAATCGTCAGTCGACTCCTTATTAGAGTAATGGCCCTTTGATGAAATTTTTTTTGCGTTTTGCCTTATATCTTAAAAATTATAATAGATAGATAGAAACTTAAATAGACCAAAATGATCAGCACGACAATATCTACAATTAATACAATATGGTGGAAATTGTTCGATGACTCCTTATTGGAGTTATTGCCCTTTAATGACTATTTATACCACTGTTTTTGCGTAATACCTTATATGATAAAAATTATAATAGATAGGTAGAAACTTGAATAAGCGAAATTGATTAGCAAAACAAGATCTACTAACAAGTCAAATTTTGCCGATATAGTTAGTAGACTGTTACTCTTTATAGGAGTGATTGCCCTTAAATGAGGATTTTTCTTTACCCTCTTTTGTGTTCTGAGCAAAAACTAAAGAGGAAAACTAAACGGACTAAATGATCAGCAATACAAGATCAACAAAACAAATATTTTTGTCATGAATGCTATTCTCACCTACAATGTTGGAGAGTGTCATTTGTTGAAATATGCATATAGACCAAGGTGAGCGACACAGGCTCTTTAGAGCCTCTAGTTTTGTTTGCCTACAAAAATTCAAAATAAAAAATTATAGAGAAAGATATTTATTTTGTCAAATGACAATATGACAGCAACCAACAAACATTGAAAACAAAAGACATCTATAGGTCAAAATAGCATGATATAACAAAAGACAAAAAAACATTGCTCAGATCATGTGCTCATTATCTGATTATGTAATTTCAGTAATTTCTACTATGGTTTTTGGGTAAAGATTGCATGAAATGCAACCAAAACCCTATGGTACTGACTTGATATCTAAATCTTCCAAGGTTTATCACTACTTTTGAAATACACAAAATATATTGCATTGATCATAACATTCTATACATCCTATCCATGAACATTACCAGAAATTTATCAATGAAATATATGCTCATATATTCAAGTCACAAAATGATGTTAAACTTGTCAAGAAAATTACATAACTTGTGCAAGGTGCGTTAATCTAATATCTGTTCTAAAAATATCAATGATGTCATTGTTAAAGTAATCTTTAATATTGGAGTTATCTTCCTTTGTTCATAATTTTAGTTGAATCAACTTCAACTTAAGCTTTATACATGCAATGTTTAATATTACTTCCAAGGATGAATTAAAGCAATCTTTAACCTTCAGTGGTTACAAGCAGTTTGATTATTACTTCCAAATTGTTTTTCATTCCTTTGATGTGTTTGAGCTTTTGATTTTGCCTTTTAATAAAGGACTTTTCGTTTTGAATTTTCCTTGGAGTTCGGTATTTTTGTTACTCTACTTTTTGCCATGGGATAAGTTCGCAAAAGTAAATAACTCACATTTTAAATTTTGTACTGTGGATTCATTATTGTTCCCCTGCTTTAAAAAAGTGGGGGTATACTGTTTTACCTCTGTCTGTCGTATCTTTCTCAGGAACTACCGGTAACTACATCATAAGGATTTCTGAAATTTGGTTTCAGGGTTTATACAAGTCAGCTATACCATGTGATGCGTTTTCAGATTCATCACTCAACAACTTCCTGTTTACCAAACACTTACATATTTTTACAGGGGCCTCGGTGGACGAGTGGTCTAAGTAGTTACTACTGTAATCACTAGCCAGTCAACACTGAGATTGTGAGTTCGAACCCCGCTCGTGTGGGTGCACTCCACTCCAATCTTAATTGACTAGGATTGTCAGTTTTCCTATCGAAGGTCAGTGGTTTTCTCTAGGCACTCCGGCTTCCTCCACCAATAAAAACTGGCCGCCACGAAATAGCCCAAAAGCGGTGCTTAAAAGTGGCGTTAAAACACCAAAAGTCAAAAATCAAATTATATTTTTACACTATAAAAATTATCCAGTTGCGGGTATCATCAGTGAGCAGTAGCTCGCAGTTTCACTTGTTATTCATTGGATACCAATTTTCGTGGATTTAGTGGATATAGATGAACCACATTTTAAAATGTTCAACAAAATACAAATTATCTTGAGGTGTATGTGTGGACTTCACCACGAAGTCAAATTTCCATGAAAGTACATTTTTTCTCAATACAAGAAAATTGGTACCCATGACAATAAATGAATTCAATGTATGCTAAAAATCTTGATTTCCTTAGAATTAATCTCACATTTTTGTCCATTGTTAACAAATCACACAATTAAATGCACACAATAATTTCTGAATTTGCAGCTTAGAATTGTCAAATAATAAAAAAAAGGAGAGTCATTTCCCTTTCATTGCGACAAGAAAATACATATGGTCTATATAAACTAGCTCAAAAAACCAGTATGACCAAAAAGTCCTGTTAAAGCTGAATCTTTACTTGACTAAATATCAAATAACGAAAAGTAAGAGTTATTTCCCTTATATTGCTACAAGAAAATACATATAGTGGGGAAATTTAGCTGAACAAGCTAAGCTATGCCATGAAAATCCAATAAAAGCTTTAGTTGGCCAAATTTCAAATGAAATTAAAGTTTGACCTTTGGAATCACTTTACGAGTATCTGTTCACATTTCAGGAATTTGTTGTCGCTGTAACAGGAAAGTGATTGGTGAGACAAATGGCTGTACAGCACAGGATCAAGTTTATCATGTGTCCTGTTTCACTTGCATGGAATGTGGTAAGAGTTGTCTCCACTTTACTATTTATTACTTTTATCTGTAAAAGTTTGAAGAAATTTGTCCCACTCTAATACTTCTACAGGGTTTTCACTAAGGATTTTTGGCCATGGGGAGTCCCAACAGTGAGAAGATAAATTTTTTGGCTTTATAATTTATTATATAAGTCTCCATGACAAATAAGATTTGACATTAGATATAGAATATTTTTTTTGAATTTTATAAAAAATGATAATAAATATATTAGGTTGATACACCATTTCACAACCTTGATGCATCTTCAGACTCACCAGTAAGATTTTCATGAGTCCAGGACTCATGGACTCATCTTATTGAAAATCCTGCTCGTCTGCAATTAAGGTTTCCTTTGATTTCTGGATTTTTAAAATTTTTTACACTTTCACTATTGCTATAATTTGGTAGCCCTTTCCTCAATTCCTCTGTCTATATCTTTAATTTGGATATGTACGATGGCTTGTTTCGAAGCTGAGACATTTTCTCATATCTGGTTAAATTTTGGGGGTATGAAGTGTGATTCATTTTCCTGTAATTTGGCACACCCTGAAAAACCCTTTGTAATAGAAGCCGAATAAAAAAATCCCTTTTTTCACACAAGTTCTTTGTATACATTTAATAACTCCATAGTTTTTATACGACCGCAAAATTTTTTGCTTTCGTATATTGATATGAAGTTGGCGTTGTCTTCGTCCGAAGACACATTGGTTTTCGCACTCTAACTTTAGTTTAAGTGAATGGATCTCTATGAAATTTTACCATATGGTTCAATACCACAAAAGGAAGGTTGGGATTGATTTTGGGGGTTATGGTACCAACAGTTAAGGAATTAGGGGCCAAAAATAAGCATTTTTGTAACTTCCAGACATAACTTGTGTGTTAGTGTATGGATCTCTCTGACATTGTACCACAAGGTTCCATATCACAAAGGGAATGCTGGGATTGATTTTAGGGGTAATTGCCTCAAAATTTTAGGAATTAGGGGCCAAAAAGGGGCAAAAAACAAGTATTTTTTTAGTTTCATGACAATAACTTGTGTGTAAGTGTATGGATCTTTATGAAATTGTACTACAAGGTGTCATATCACAAAGGGAAAGCTGGGTTTGAGTTTGGGGGTAATTGCCCTAAACGTTTAGGAATAAGGGGCCAAAAAACAAGCATTTTTCTAGTTTCCAGACAATAACTTGTGTTCAAGTGTATGGATCTCTCTGAAATTGTACTACAAGGTACCATACCACAAAGGGAAGGCTGTTATTGAGTTTTGGGGTGATGAATCATAAGGGGGTTCAAAAAATTTGGGGGGGGGGATTTTTTTAAATTTTTTTTCTTTCTTTTTTTTCTTTAAAATTTTCCGTTTTAAATTGGTTATTTCTGATTTATATATAAAAGCAAATAATAATGATATGGTTTGAATAGGTAAATTAAAATTTGTTAAGTTCTTAGACCACATTCATTCTGTGTCAGAAACCTATGCTGTGTCAAATATTTAATCACAATCCAAATTCAGAGCTGTATCAAGCTTGAATGTTGTGTCCATACTTGCCCCATCTGTTCAGGGTCCGACCTCTGCGGTCGTATCAAGCTGCGCCCCAGCGGAGCATTTTATTACACATTTATTCTGTTTTACAAATGGGAACAAAAGATTAAGCTTTAGTCACTTGTTAAAAATTGAAACCTGTCCAATATCACTGCACAGAGAATTTTTTTAACCACTCCTTTTGAGTTCCTTTATTGGAGGTCCATTAGGAATATTGACCCATAAAATAACAGAATTTATTGTCTTATTTTTTCTTAAAAGTCTTTATGAATGATTGAATACTTTAATTTATAATATAAATTTGCAGGTACCATGCTAACAGGGAAACAGTTTTACTCAATGGATACCAAACCTTACTGTGAAGCATGTTATATTGTAAGTAAATTTCAACAGAATAAGAGTTTTAAATGAACTGTACACTTATGCCAAAAACTAAGGCGAGATGAAGAATTTTATAGTCTAAAGAGTCAAATGCAATCCAAAAGTATGATTTTTTTTACAATGATTTCACCAGACTGAACTACTGAGGATTCATTTTTATTAATCGTGGGATACTAAATTTCATTGATTTCATGGGTAGTGGAATAACAAATTTAAATGTTCTTTGAACAACAAACTTTTTATAGGCGTAACTGGCTCATACATGGATGTAAACCTTGACAAAACCACGAATTCAAATATCCCTGAAAATACTATCTTCATCAATCCATGAAAATAAATGAATTGACAGTTACCCACAGTTTGTTGCGATGCTAACGTCTTCCCACAGAAAAAAGGTTACAGGCAGATTTGGTCAGACCTTAGCAGGTTTAAGATATCCTATCAAAACCTAGAGTGCACTGCTAAAGTATGTGATTAAATATTTATTTCTAAAGACCAAAAAAGAAAACAATTAATGATCATACTCTGTGCAAAATGGAAGCCTGTTTTTTTTAAGAGTGCATACAATATTGTTAGGAAATTATCATAGGTAATAAAACCAGTTCCAAACAGGTTTTGATCAAACTTTTTGCTTTTTGTCGAGCCTTTTTGTCGAAAAAGCGAGACATAGCGATCCTACATTCTGTTGGCGTCAGCGGCGTCCACAAATATTCACTCTGTGGTTAAAGTTTTTGAAATTTTAATAACTTTCTTAAACTATCCTGGATTTCTACCAAACTTAGACAGAAGCTTGTTTATGATCATAAGATAGTATCCAGAAGTAAATTTTGTAAAAAAAAAATTCCTGTTTTTCGTATTTTACTTATAAATGGACTTAGTTTTTCTGCCAGGAAACATTACATTCACTCTATGAAAGTTTTTAAAATTTTAATAACTTTTATCAAACTATCCTGGATTTCTACCAAACTTGGACAGAAGTTTGTTTATGATCAAAAGCTAGTATCTAGAAGGAAATTTGTATTAAAATTTTGTACTTGTTTATCCATATTTTACTTATAAATGGATTTAGTTTTTCTTCCAGTTAACATTACATACAGTCTGCAGTTAAATTTTTGAAAACATTTATTAGATTCATAAACTATCCTGGATTTTTACCAAACTTGGACAGAAGCTTCTTACAATAAAAAAAATTGTATCGAGAGGAATATTTTTATTAAATTTTTTCCTCATCTCACATTGTCTCATTTTTGTTGAGCCTGCGATTAACAGCAAAAGTAGGCGAGACACTGGGTTCCGCGGAACCCTTACAAATTGTTGTTTGTTATCTGGTCAACATTTACCTCTAAATGAGGGACTTGGAATCTGTTTTGTATGCTGTGTGTACTGTATTTGCGTGAAATATTTTTAAGTCTAATCTTTATAATGAAAAAGTTTTTGACATACATGCTCTATAATCAGTTTTTCATAAAATTTCTCTGAACTATATGGATTGTAAAGCCTCATTTCGTGAAAAATTTTTGGCCCAACAAGATTTTTACATTAAGGTGGTAATATAAAAAATAAATGCTTATGAGGGTGTGGATGGGGGTTTACAGAATAGAGAATAAATGGGCAAAAAATATAAAGAATAGAGAATAATGGGCAAAAAATATAAACAATAGAGAATAATGAGGTGTTCAAATATGAAGAATAGAGAAAAAAGGCCAAAAAAATTAAAGAATACAGAAATGGAGGACCACCCATCCAGACTCTTGATTATGGATAATCCTGAGGACTAGTTATACCCCACGCAACGAGTTGCAGAGGGTATAATGTTTTTGACCCGTCCGTCAGTCCGTCAGTCCTGTTTCTTGTCATCGCAACTCCTCTCAAACCACACAACAGAATTTCACGAAACCTTTTTAGATAATAAGGACATACTATGTAGATGTGCATATCGACAGGAAATTGCGATTCAACTTTTTTTCTAGGAGTTACGCCCCTTTGAACTTATTTACTTTAATGTACTACTGCAACAGTTTGTCATCGCAACTCCTTTGATACCACACAACAGAATTTCATGAAACCTTTTTAGATAATAAGGACATACTATGTAGATGTGCATATCGACAGGAAATTACGGTTCAATTTTTTTTCTAGGAGTTACGCCCCTTTGAACTTATTTGCTTCAATGTACTATGCAACAGTTTGTCATCGCAACTCCTCTGAAACCACACAACAGAATTTCATGAAACCTTTTTAGATAATAAGGACATACTATGTAGATGTGCATATTGACAGGAAATTACGGTTAAATTTTTTTTCTAGGAGTTACGCCCCTTTGAACTTATTTGCTTCAATAATGTACTATGCAACAGTTTGTCATCGCAACTCCTCTGATACCACACAACAGAATTTCATGAAACCTTTTTAGATAATAAGGACATACTATGTAGATGTGCATATCAACAGGAAATTATGATTCAATTTTTTTTTCTTATACAATTTTTTTTCTTACACATATTTTATTTCTCCAATGACAATGTGAGGACGTGGGGTATGTGAGCGCGCTCACTATGGTTCTTTAATTGTTTTGTATTTTACAACAATAATAACTACATAATAATTCTCTCTGACATTTTATGTTTTCAGAATACTCTAGAGAGATGTTCAGTGTGTTCTAAACCAGTGACAGATAGGGTAGGTATCAGGTTCTGTTAAGTTTTATTTGGTTCGAAACTTCGAGATGCTATGGTACCTTAAAGTATTTTTTAAGACAAAAATATGATAATTATAGAATAACTAATCAAAGAATTAGAATATAGAAAAATATTCAACGAGTGACCAAACAACACATTTATTATTCACTTGTTTTGTCATGAATTGAATATTTTTTATGCCCACGCCGTAGCAGAGGGGGGATTAGGGTTTGACCCCCGTTCGTATGTCCCAAAATTTGTATTCCATTCTATAACTTCAGTTTGCCTCAAACAAATGTTATGAAACTTATACACAATGCTTATTACCACTAAACACAGATCAAGTTCGAATTTGGGAGGCGTTATATATACCGCTCTAAAGTTATGCCTTTTTATATATAGAAAAATTGCTGAATTTTTCGTTTCTGTTCTCTAAAATTAGTTTGCTTCAACTAAACTTTATGAAACTTATACACAATGCTTATTACCACAAAACTCCGATCAATTTCAAAATTGGGGTTGTCACTTTTACTGTTCTTGAGTTATGTAGTATTAATTTTAAATTCGAGATTTTTTTAATTTCACCTGACTACATCCTTAATAATCAATGTTGTTCGGTCATGAGTTCAATATTTTTATACGACCGCAAAAAAAATTTTGTGGTCGTATATTGGTATGACGTTGGCATCGTCGTCGTTGTCTGGCGTCGTCCGAAGACACATTGGTTTTCGCACTCTAACTTTAGTTTAAGTGAATGGATCTCTATGAAATTTTACCACAAGGTTCAATACCACAAAAGGAAGGTTGGGATTGATTTTGGGGGTTATGGTACCAACAGTAAAGGAATTAGGGGCCAAAAAGGGGCCAAAAATAAGCATTTTTGTAACTTCCAGACATAACTTGTGTGTTAGTGTATGGATCTCTCTGACATTGTACCACAAGGTTCCATATCACAAAAGGAATGCTGGGATTGATTTTGGGGGTAATTGACTCAAAATTTTAGGAATTAGGGGCCAAAAAAGGGGCAAAAAACAAGCATTTTTCTAGTTTCATGACAATAACTTGTGTGTAAGTGTATGGATCTTTCTGAAATTGTACTACAAGGTTCCATATCACAAAGGGAAAGCTGGAATTGAGTTTGGGGGTAATTGCCGAAACGTTTAGGAATTGGGGGCCAAAAAGGGGCCAAAAATAAGCATTTTTCTAGTTTCCAGACAAGAACTTGTGTTCAAGTGTATGGATCTCTCTGAAATTGTACTTCAAGGTACCATACCACAAAGGGAAGGCTGGGATTGATGATGGGGGTAATTGCCTCAATGTTTTTAGGAATTATGGGCCAAAAAAGGGCAAAAAACAAGCATTTTTCTAGTTTCAGGACAATAACTTGTGTGTAAGTGTATGGATCTTTCTGAAATTGTACTACAAGGTTCCATATCACAAAGGGAAAGCTGGGTTTGAGTTTTGGGGTAATTGCCCTAAATGTTTAGGAATTTGGGGCCAAAAAGGGGCCAAAAAACACATTTTTCTAGTTTCCAGACAATAACTTGTGTTCAAGTGTATGGATCTCTCTGAAATTGTACTGCAAGGTACCATACCACAAAGGGAAGGCTGGGATTGAGTTTGGGGGTGATGAATCATAAGGGGGTTCAAAACATTTGGGGTGTGGATTTTTTTTTTCATTTTTTTTCTTTTTTTCATTTTTTTTTTTCTTTTAAAATTTTTAAGTTGGTTATTTCTGATTTATATTTAAAAGCAAATAATAATGATATGGTAGGAGATACACACCAAACAGGATGTGTAAATTATTATATAATAAGTATTGTGCAATAGCAAGAAATTTTCAATTGCACAATAGCAAGAAATCTTCAATTGCACAGTATTGCGCAATAGCAAGAAATCTTCAATGGCACAGTATTGCGCAATAGCAAGAAATATCCAATTGCACAATATTGCGCAATTGCAAGAAATTGTCAATTGTACAGTATTTCCCAATAGCAAGAAATTGTCAATTGTACAGTATTGCGCAATAGCAAGAAATATTCAATTGCACAGTATTGTGCAAAAGAAGATACTTCGTATAAGCATCAATGGGGTTTTATTCTTGAATTCTTGGGGTTCTTTAATATGCTGAATCTAACCGTGTATTTAGTTTTTGGATTATGGGCCCTGTTTTTAAATTGGTCCACATTGAGGTCCAAAGGGTCCAAAATTAAACTTTGTTTGATTTCATCAAAAATTGAATTATTGGGGTTCTTTGATATGCCGAATCTAACCGTGTATTTAGATTCTTAATTTTTGGTTCCGTTTTCAAATTGGTCTACATTAAGGTCCAAAGGGTCCAAAATTAAACTTAGTTTGATTTTAACAAAAATTAGTTTTCAAGTTGGTCCAAATCGGGGTCCAAAATTAAACTTTGTTTGATTTCAACAAAAATTGAATATATGGGGTTCTTTGATATGCTGAATCTAACCATGTATTTAGATTTTTGATTTCTGGGCCCCGTTATCAACTTTGTCCACATTGAGGTCAAAAGGGTCCAAAATTAAACTTTGTTTGATTTCATCAAAAATTGAATTCTTGGGGTTCTTTGATATGCTGAATCTAACCATGTATTTAGATTTTGGATATTGGACCATAATAGGTGAATGTCCAATTTAAAATTTTTAAGTTCTTAGACCACATTCATTCTGTGTCAGAAACCTATGCTGTGTCAAATATTTAATCACAATCCAAATGCAAAGCTGTATCAAGCTTGAATGTTGTGTCCATACTTGCCCCAACTGTTCAGGGTTAGACCTCTGCGGTCGTATCAAGCTGCGCCCTGCGGAGCATTTTATTTTATATTTAAACTATATTTTTTCTATGCATTCCAAAATACTTTTGTCATTTAATTTAGTTACTGTGCTTTAGTAGTATGCTTGCCTTTAATGTGGGTGTTCAAGCCAAAAACTTTATAAATATGGTATTTGCTGCTTCTCTGCTTACCACATGGAATTGAGGAGTTGTTATGCTTGAGTATTATAAACCAGTAATCTTTTGTGCACGCTCACCTTGAGTGTCGGTGTTCAAACCAAAGACTTTATAAATATGGTATTTGCTGCTTCTCCGCTAAGCACATGAAACTGGAGCAGTTATTATGCTTGAGTATTATGAAACGGTGGTCTCCTATAGTAGCATGCTCCCTGTGAATGTGGGTGTTCAAACCGAAAATGTTATAAAAATAGTGTTTGCTCCTTCGTTGAAAATTGCACAGCACTGGGAAGAAAATGAAAAGACTGTGCAATATAAAATTTCCAGTAAGGTTGACATGTCTTCCTGCAGACTGCTTACTTTTGAACAATCTCATTAAAAATCAAACAACGTACAAAGCAGGGTTTATATTCAAACAACATTGACATGTTCTAGTACTTAATATGCATTCAATTGTTACTATCAGCTGTTGTATTATGAGTATGATTAAATTAAGCTTAAGTCACTCATACAGTCAATTTTAATGATTCCTTTTATCATTTCAGCTTCTGCGAGCCACAGGGAAACCATATCATCCTGACTGTTTTGTGTGTGTGGTCTGTGGTAAAAGTCTTGATGGCATTCCTTTCACTGTTGATGCAACTAGTCAGATTCATTGCATTGAAGACTTTCACAAGTATGATTGCTACTTTTGAGAATTATGGGTTGTTATTTTCAAGATAAGTTTTTGTGTGAAAGTTAATTTTGTGCTTCAAATGAAAAGTGCACACTTCAAAGGAATTTATATATTTCCTCAAACTTATCACATGGGTGGTATTTCGGTGCATTTCACATATTTGCGGAATAAGTGAATTTAAACACAATGAAAAGTTTCAACGTTTACATTTCTGGTAAAGAAGTTTCAAGCTTGACTGCTGCATTATCATTAAAGCTACTGGACAAACTCACATTTTTAGAACTGAAGATTTTTTCTATCAAAATATATTTTGTAAGACTGGTTTTCACTGAATATTGTTTTACATTCACAAGAGTTATGAATTGGTTGTGGTGAGTCTAAAGTTACTATTCAGAAAGAATGTGAATGCATATTTGTACTCCTGTCTGATTAAGATGAATTTGGAAGTCATCGATAAGTTTCTAAAAAAGAATTCAGCTTTTTTTAGAATTTGATTTGCACTGCACACAGTGATGTTCATGTGTCCATGTTCTACTTAATTCCTTCTATTTCTGCCTGTTATTAAAAATAAGGCTACAGATATATTTACATAGATTCAAAATTTTGTCTTCTTGAAATCACTTCTCAATATTTTGGAAATTTTTAGCAGCAAATCAAAATATCAGATTCAAACAAGCATTTTTCTAGTTTCATGACAATAACTTGTGTGTAAGTGTATGGATCTTTATGAAATTGTACTGCAAGGTTCCATATCACAAAGGGAAAGCTGGGTTTGAGTTTGGGGGTAATTGTCTTAAACGTTAAGGAATTTGGGGCCAAAAAGTGGCCAAAAAACAAGCATTTTTCTTGTTTCCAGACAATAACTTGTGTTCAAGTGTATGGATCTCTCTGAAATTGTACTGCAAGGTACCATACCACAAAGGGAAGGCTGGGATTGAGTTTGGGGGTGATGAATCATAAAGGGGGTCAAAAAAAATTTTTGGGGGGGATTTTTTTTCCCCTTTTTTTTCTTTAAAATTTTCATTTTAAATTGGTTATTTTTGATTTATATATAAAAGCAAATAATAATGATATGGTTTGAATAGGTAAATTAAAATTTTTTTAAGTTCTTAGACCACATTCATTCTGTGTCAGAAACCTATGGTGTGTCAAATATTTAATCACAATCCAAATTCAGTGCTGTATCAAGCTTGCATGTTGTGTCCATACTTGCCCCAACTGTTCAGGGTTCGACCTCTGCGGTCGTATCAAGCTGCGCCCAGCGGAGCATTTTATTTTAGTTGATGTAATTTCATGATTGTTTTCAGAAAATTTGCACCAAGATGCTGTGTTTGTCATCAGCCAATTATGCCAAAGAAAGGTCAAGAAGAAACTGTTAGGGTTGTTGCTATGGATAAAAGTTTTCATGTTGAGTGCTATAGATGTGAGGTAAGAGAAGTTCAAAGATTCAATATTTTTATCCTAAAAGGCAGAGATATTTAAAAAAAAATAAATATGTTATGTCTTGCACCTTGTACCGCCTCAGTGGCCTCATGGTAGTGTGTTTGGCTCGATTGTGTGAGGTCGTGGGGTCAAACCCAGACCATGTCAAATCAAATACTTAAAATTGGTATTTGCTGCTTCTCAACTTAGCATTCAACATTGAGAAGTCAGACCAAAGACTGGTTGGTCCTGAGTCAGAGTAATGCATCTTGGTATGGTGACATGTCTTCCTGTGAACTGTTACCTTGAGAGCTATGAAAATAAGAAGATGTGGTATGATTGCTGATGCGACAACTCTCCACTAGAGACTAAATGTCATAGATGTTAATAACTAAAGGTCACTGTAAGGCCTTCAACAATGAGCAAAATCCATACCGCATAGTCAGCTATAAAAGATCCTGAAATGACAAATGTTAAACAATTCAAACAAGAAAAACAACGGCTTGATTTACATGTATGTACAAAACAATGAACAAAAAGCAAATATGATGTACAGTAACAAACAACCACTGAATTACTGACTCCTGACTTGGGACAGGCACATACAGAATAGCAAGTTAAAAAGCTGGCTCAGCGTGTGTGTCTTGTACAAAGCAGGGTTAATATACACATTACATTAACATGTTCTCTTCCTGAATATACATTTAATTTGCAACTGGACGTTTAACAGCCATCCATCATCCATCATCATCTTGTCTAGCTGTGCTTTAAATTAAAGTGTTTTATTTTGTCATGACTAATTGTGTTTAATCTGTTTATTTGCATAAAAAAATGACACCTGATTGCAATTTGTATCATTGTGTCAAATTGTTGAGTTTATCTGAAGCAAAAAGTCTCATGCTTTTATTAGATGAAATGATAAAAAATTCCTTTCTCATATTCTACATTCATTACAAATTCAAAGTAGTGTCAAAAAAGAGGTGCCTTGCAGATTTAGAAATATCTTTTAAAGAACAAATCCACATTTTAAAGTTCCAAATTAGATATCAAATCATTCTTAATACAGAAACTGAGTAACAAAAATTACAGAGAGACAGACAAAATAGGTGATTGCGATACACAAAGAAAATTAATATTTAGACCTTCCACACATTTTTCAAACTGAGTTCACTAGAAACTAGAGTTATCTTCCTTTGACAGATGAAATAATTTGAACTTCTCCTAAAATTGGTCCTTCATGCTAAGGATTTGTGTGGTTTTTCGTTCATTTCATTTGGATCCTTTCAGTGTTTGTTTAATAAAGTTAGATGGACATTTAATTCTTCAACCGCTTTTAGAACTGTAAATTCAGAAATTATTATGTGTGTTTATTATTGCAATTTTTCATGAAAGGACAAAAATACAAGATTTATTATTGCAATTTCAGGAAAATCTGCATACAGAATAGAAGGTGTTTTCATATTATTGCAATACTCACCCAGTTGCGTTAATCACATTAATAAAAAAACTCATAAGAATTTCTGCATTTACATTATATGATAAGCATTTTGCTTTGTTAGTTTGTGTGTATTTCAATTATTTCTTTATGTTCCCATTAGACTCCAAATTTTATGTTACTACAGTAACTTAAATCATTTTTTACAGGACTGTGGATTGCAGCTTTCATCTGATGCTGAAGGACGTGGATGTTATCCACTGGATGAACATATTCTCTGTAAAAATTGTAATGCTAGAAGAATACAGGCAATGACCACAAAGATGACCACAGAACTGTAATGCACCAATACAGCAAAAGATACAGACAACAACCAAATATTACACAATTCAGAATGAAAAGTGCAATGTACCAAAATTCAGATCTGCTTTATTTTATGTTCAAATATTTTTTTTTTTAAATGATCTGAAGACATATGATTACTAAACTTTAATTTCATTTTCATCAATTTTTTTGTTCAAACTTGTCCATGTAATATATGTGCTACAACAAAACTTGTTTTCATGTCATAAATGTCAGATTCAATTTTAGATTTAGTGGTCTTTTGACCCTTGAACTGGAAGAGTTCTAATGCAATCAATTAAAAATCCTACCATCTTTGTAAATATTTCACCGCACTTTACTAGTCTCATGATATTTGTGTATCACACACTTCAAACTTTTAAGATATTTTTTTTAATCTGAATTTGAATATTGAGCAAAGATGTGATTGATAGATATTTAATTTCGTCATATACAAATTTGTTTTGGTGTGAAATTTTTATTTTAATCATTGATAAAATGTATGCCCCTTTTTCATTGGACAACGATGGACCAATGGTCCAAAATAATCCTCTTGTCCTTGTAAATCTGTGGATCCATTAGTTTTCGTTGGTACCCATTTCTGTGGATTCAAGAAAAGTTGTTTTTTGTGGATAATATATTTCGAGATTTTCACAACCCTATGGGAAATTTATATTTTGTAGAACACTTAAACTTGTCCTTAACCTATGCCCAAGAAATCCATGAAAAATGGTATCCAACGAATAATAATGAATCCACAAGATACATATATATATTTTTCAGTAGCTACTTGTGCAATACTGTCATTTTCATGTGTTTTTGCTTATTAATGGTGCCTAAATAGCTACTGATGATCATGTACATGTAGTTGTTTTATATAAATGTTCAACGATTTTTTTTCATAATTATGATTTTTGACAGTTTTCATTATTGACTGTTGTTCAGACTGTTACTTGTTTGATAGTTTTAACAGACTAGAAAATATGCAACAACCAGCCATTGCAATCTAAAAATACTAAATATCCTTTTTTACATATTTGGGCAAAGTCAGATATTTTCTTTTTGAAGGATTGTGAATCAAAGAGGTGAGAAACATTATATAAATAACACATAGCTGAGAGGGTGATAGAGCAAATTGTTACCCAGAGAAAACATTGTCAACTGAGGTGAAGCCAAGGTAGGTTGACAATGTCTTTTCGAGGGGTAACAATCTGCTCTATCACCCTCTCAGATATGTGTTATTTAATTTATTATACTAAATGTTCTGTTATTACTGTCTTTAATTTCAAATTCAAAGTAATAAACTACGACGTCTTGTGCATAACAATAATCAGTATTTATTAAAGCGCACACTTGATCTCAAGCGTCTCCGTGAAGGGTAATAGAGTATTTGCCATGGGATAGAGTAAATTGTCTCCCACCTATCAACAAATCAAAAATCTGGCATTTTGACATGAAGTATAATAATATATGTTAAAATCCTCCAAAAAGAATATTGCAGGAAAGTAAAGTAAAGTTGTGTTTTTTTTTGGCATACTTAAATTCTTTAGGATTAGTATTATGAGGTTTCATTATTATTTTATGCAGTTAAGCACGATTTGTTATTCTATTATATTTTATAATAAAATGGTGCTTTTTACTGTAGTGAAGTTATAGAAATAAATGTTGACATAATCAAACAGGACTCAAAATGATGAATTGTCTGGAAATATATATCACCATGGAACCAAAATAATGACTGTTTGTCCCAAAACAGACATGTATTACATCAATTTGCTGTTTTCACCTGTGAGTGAACCCCACAGTCTTTTGTGACTGTTCAGAGATGGAGATTTAAACATTTGAAACACAAGATTTTGTCATTTTGTGGACTGTCTAGGAACATGTTGTTTGAATTTATACCTTAGACAATCAGGTAACCGTTGATAAAATTCTGTCACTATTTGTAACTGAAATCAACTGTTGAAAACATTTTAGAAGAGTGTATGAAAAAGTGTTCTTGATAGGAGCTGTTGGCCAAAGCTGTTCTAGGACAGAAAATTTCAGTTACTGGGACAGGCAGTCATTGTTTTGGTTCATTGTGTAAATTTAATGTATTTGTTCTACAATAAAAAAGTGAAATATTTCATATTTTATGATAAAAGTGTAATATATTTCATTTTTTACAATAAAAATGTAATATATTATATTTGTTACAATAAGAATGTAATGTATTTTATTTCATTACGATAAAAATGTAATTTATTTCATTTTTTACAATAGAAATGTAATATATTATATTTGTTACAATAAGAATGTAATGTATTTTATTTCATTACGATAAAAATGTAATTTATTTCATTTTTTTTAACTAAAAACGTGATATACTTTGTTTCAATGTAATCTATATTATTTGTTATGTAGACTTAAATATCATTTTGTAAAATATATTTGTATTTTTATATTGTAAAAATTTTTGTAACAAAACAAGACATTTTTGTGGAAATTTTGTTATAAAAATATTGTAAGCAGTTTATAAATAGATTGTAATGTCCATGGGGGCATTTTTTTCACAAAATAGTTTTTGCATTTTTTTTACCAATTATGCAAATAACTAAATGATCTTTTGTTGATTTTTATTAAGTTAAGTACATTTTCAATGTATTGATGTCAACTCTCTAAATTGGTTGTTAAAGTATATAAATAGAACATTTTCATCAATGATTGTAATTGGGGTAAAATCTAGACCTATATTTTATGCCCTTCTGTGAACTAATACATCATCAGTCAAAAAAACCTGAAGTTTTAAAAATAGTGCTTCCTAACCCCATATTGAAGAATTTTTAACAACAGAGGTCAATAATTAGAACACAACAAGCTATTGTCACTTTTTTAGCATTGCTTGGTAAAGGGAAAATCTTTCTTGCGTAGCAAATGTATATATGCGCTCAAAATATGCCATCTTAGCTTAAATTGTGCCATTTGATGATGTACATATATGCTTCTTAAAAAAGAAGTGCTCAGAGTGCTGAAAGAAAATTACAAGGATTATGTCCCCTAGTCCATTATTTTTCTGAAAATTCTTTCTCAAGTATTGCTAGTAGAGCTAAGTCTTAACTTTACCATTGATTCATTCATTTAAATGGTCAATATGTTTGGCTGATGTCGAATAGATTCTTGGTGACCGATAAAAAAAGATAAATTTTCCTGTGAAAAAGAAAAATACTGATATTATGAAAATGTTCACAGTTACAAAATAAAGTCTTTTTTTAGTAATTTTTTTTTTTAAATTGATTGTCTTTGTAACCATTGTAACAGAGCCTTAACTCTTACGAAGTTCATAAAATTGCGTATAACTTTAAAAAGAGTGTCCAATTTTTAAAAAAAAAAGGGGAAATTTGATCCTTTGAAAAGTAAATAGGTCAAATATATGATAAGTTGTCAGAAATAGCGAATAAAAATGTAATATGACCTAGCTTATAAAAAAATCTTTCAATAAGGTTAAAAATCAAAACTATCCTGAAAAGTTAATTAAATTGAATTTAAATAAATTGATTCTTTTTTTTAAAAGAATACCAGATACATTGTATGTAAGGTATAACTTGATGCATTCCAATATTTCTTACCTTTTTATCCCAAATATTTCCTCAAAATTTGAATATTATGATATCAAATTGATAGATATTATATGATTTTTCTGTGTAACTCTTTACAATTTAGTTATTTTTCTCTGATGCAGTGTTTTGGCTACCTGATACGACATAGCCAATTTTGAAACACTGTGATCTATGTTAACATTGTGATTAAGGATGTTTGCTCCTCTGTTTCAAACTAACAAGCTTTTTATAAGACTGTTATAATTTGATAGTATGTAAATAACGGAACTTAAAAAGTAGAAAAAAATTACAGGTCCGTGTCCTTGTTTTTGATATATATGCAATTGAAAATTTGTCAGGAAATGATTCTCTCTAGATTTTTCATATATTTAACATTGGCACCTTTTTTCTTCAAAAAGTATTAAAAAATAACAAGGGTTTTATAAGATGTTCAAAAATGGCTTTTTAAACTATATGTAATGAAATTATGATAAGAAAAGTAGGGGGTTAGTGGACAAAATTTTTATTGGCACTACATGGGTAAAACTAGAGGATTTCAAATATCTGACAAAATTTCAAAACCGAGAGAGGCAAACATCTGTAAGCTTAATTAAGTTTTATTAACCAAAAATAATACATATAAAATTAACGTATAATAAATCAGTTTTAAGCAGGGTTTGTTAACTTGGAAAAAATTTATATATAATGAAACATTAAATTTTGATCAAGTGAAAACAGGGTTTGGTAACTTGAAAAAAAAAATGATATATAATAAAACTTGTAATTTTAATTAAGCGAAAACAGGGTTTGATAACTTGAAAAAAGACTATTGTTATATAATTAAACTGTTAATGACTTTTGATTAAGTCCAAACAGGGTTGGTTAAATTAAATAAAATAATCTATAGAATAAAAGTGTTCATGACTTTTGGTTAAGTGCAAACAGGGTTGATTAAATTAAAGAAATTTTTTTATATAGAATTAAACTGTTCTTGACTTTTAATTAAGTGCATACAGGGTTTGATACGTAAAAAATAAGAAATATGAACCTCAGTTTTCAACCATGGTAGATATACTATAATCACAACTTTTTTCAAGGCTGATTTAGTTTTTGCAAGTAGAAAAATAAAGAGAATATAAATACTATCAAATATGTCAAAATTGTATCTTTACTTCTTCTATGAATACACAAACAAAATAAGAAGGTCATGAAAAAATTGCCACAAAATTGACCCAAAAAGGCTTCATGCAAAAAATTGTTCACGAAAATAAGTTGGTTAACAGCACAATTCTTTGGGGCAATATTCTGTGTATCAGCATCAGTTAAATTCCTTAATGATATATCAATATGTTTACGGTCGTCTTCTGTTGTTTGTTTTCATATATTGTATACATCTATTTAATTCGATTTTATATCGTGACTATGGTGCTTAGAGTTAGACCAGATAATTGAAAAAATTGTGCTACACCTTTTTGTTATGAATTTTTTGTTTGCTGTTCTGTTAGATTGCACGTTTTGTTGAAGGTAAAATGAAATATAGGATTTGGTTAGAATTAGTGCACAAGCTATCTTTATTCACTTATAAAATATATTTACAGGGTGGAAGTGTACTTTCTGCATAAGTGATATGCAGTTCATTTATTATGGACATTTTTTATTGCGCATTTTGATGGAGGTTAAAGAAAAACGAAAATCTCACAATGATTTGAGTGTGAAAATTGACAAGCTAATGAAAAGCTGCTATGTACAAAAATATTGCAATAATAAACAGGTTTTTAAAAATATATTAAATATTACCAATATAATACATTTTATAACTGCCAACTTCTTATAATATCCAAGGGTATGTGAAGCAATAGAGGGCATTGTGCATCTCTTAAACATATATATATGCATATCTTGTACATGTATTTAATCTAATTTTCCATAGTTTTGAATGCATATGTACACTTTTAACGCTTTTGAATGTCTGTTTTGAGTTTTGAGTTTATGTAATGAAGGATTAAAAGAGAAAGACCAGCCTCTCTCTTGGAGGAATTCCACCATGAATTGAGACTGTTGGCAGGTCTGCATTTTATCACCTTTATTTATATGTAAAGGGTGATAAAGTCAACAATAATATAACCTATAATCAGATTAGATAGACAATTTACCTACAGTATTTTTTTTAATTTTGTGCCATTCAAATATTAATCATCTTAAAAACATGACCTTCTGGTCACATGGATGTTTTATTTTTCTGCCCTTATCAATGTGGAGTTGTCTCCCATTTATTGAAGAGTTGTTAGCAAATTTAAAAGTAAGATTTAAAAAAAATTGAATGTAGTACATAAAAATGCAGAAAATAAACCATTAAAAGTCTGAAACGAAAAGTTCAAAGACTTCATAGGGAAGATAAGATTTTGAAGGGAAAAAAAATTGTAACAATTTTGAAAATACCTTCACAAGAGTAATAACTAATATAAAATTTGTTTTAAGAAAAAATGGAAAATTACCAGCATATACTACAGGACATGTATGTGCATTCCTTTTGAACGAAAGGTGTGTCGTACATTTAGACTAATCTTTAACTTAATTTATTACATATTACACTATATAAAAATTTTAATGCTTTTAAATGTAAAAGATGTACCTTTTTATTGCCAATATTACAGTCAGCATTTAATATAATTTATTCAGTATAGTCCTTCAATATTTAAAACTGATACCGGTAATATTTATCATTGCTTACTTTATTAATTATGTAAATTGCTACAATTAAATATGATTGTAATTTGCAAGTGCATATCAATATTATACAAAATTATTTATATTTTGAAATTATTTCCATATTTAATAATATGTGTTATTATGTTGTGTATTGAGCTTATCATTGATCAAAGTGATCTGTTGATTTATTAGTCACTTAAAATTTGAATGCATCACAGGATGTGCACTTTTAATGGTCGGCTTCATTGGTTAATCTATTTGTTGTACAAATGTAAAATTGGCATGTTTCCAAAATTTCTACTGCATGATCAGAATTAGTGGGTGAATTAAGTAAGAAAGCAATGAGGGTGGTAGAAAGGGGTATTGTACCTGAAGAAATTAATGCTAAATCCTATGAATTCAGGATTTAATTATATAGTGATTAGTGGTGCTGGAAGAGACACATTATTTTCCGTAATGTGTCTGTTCCAGGTTCGTTATATGATTAAATCCTGAATTCCTGTATTGCCTACGATTTAACAGCTGTTCTTAATTCACATCAATTAAACATCTTAATCCTGGCATCCAAAAATGGTCCTTCCGCCCATCAAGCAAGTGTGTGAATTAAGAAAAGAGATGTTTTGTACACCTTTATTCTGAATTGACACTCCATTTTTGGACAAATTATCATGTTACTATGTCCCTTTATAACTTTTTTGCAATGGCAATAAAAATATTGTGTCTTGATGTCCAAGAGGTTTACATAGTAGGCAGACATCTATGACCCTTTTCACAAAAAAAACTTAGGAGAAAAAATAATCGTGAAAAGATCTCCTGTCTTACATATCCCTTTAGCTTGTTAGTGGTTCAAGTGTTGTTTCAGTCATTTGTGGAGGGTTATTGGTTG